GGAAATCGAACGCCATAATGATCACAGATTCATGGCACAGTACATGGGTATATCTGATTATGACAGACGAGTCATGAATGAACATGTCAAAAGGAAGAACAAATGCGTAACTGAACAACTATTTGATGAATGGTCTAGGAGATGGGCAGAAAGAAAACAGAAGAACGGTGACGATGCACTGAAATCTGAAGTTAACACTACAATGAGCACCAAGCCATACACCGTCTACTATGAAAGCAGCATACAGAATCTACTCGAAATCAAGAACAATTATCTGCAAAGTAGAGACGATGTCGAGGAAGCCATAAAAGCTATGTTTCAACGCCGTGTATAAAATCGACCTGAAACAAGATTGATAGTATGCCATGAAAGCGCATATTCCAAGTATCATAAATGCTATGCTGGAAAGGAAATCAGTTATATTGATTATTTGATAGACAAATATATGGAAAATAATTTCCAGAATGAAAAGAATACTTCACATCCTGTGTTTAACTCACTTTCCAAACAGATATAAACTGATAGATATAATTGAATGCACCTAGTAAAAAGTGTGACACCAAGTCACGTGATAGACGTGAGCACGTGTGTGTGATAGACATTTTTGAATGCTCTCAATGATGGACAGACAGAAAACAAGAAGATGGCGGAATACACTAAAACCTGAACTTATTACAATAAATATTATCACAATGTGTACTGTGGGAGTGTCACCCTTGGGGAGAATTTCCTACACAATAAAGATGATGTACATGAAGCCATAAAAGATATAATTTCAAGACATAAATGTGTTTAAAACTTTTGTATCTCATCAGTTTTTTTTATTGAGCTGTTCCATTAATATTTTATTTGTATGTGATTCCAGATTTAATGTAAATATAATTTGTCAGCTTGTATGGTAGTAAATAACATTTCATGTCATTACTACGTTCACTATCCAATGTGTTTACGACCACAATTGACACAATTAAAAATGATAGTCGGACGATTCTTAAATTGTACATGTGAACAGGACGTTCACTGAAATATAAGTGAAAATGTAGACAGGTTAAATATAGGCATAGTATTTATATGCACTCAATATATCTAACTTACTACCCTGTTGATTTATTGTATTAGGTATAGATGTAAGTATATATGTAAATAAAATAAAAGATTGCTTTTATTCCAGCTATGGTAC